GCGCTCACACCCGTGTGTGGGATGGGGGCACTGGCGCGCTCACACCCATGCGTGGGATGGGGGCACTGGCACTCACACCCGTGCCCAGGGACATGGCACCCATTTCACCACCCCACTGTGTGACCTACTTTAGTTACATCTGTGCAATTGTCTCATGTCGCCAAGGCCTCGGGCTCAAGCCGCCTTCCTTCCTTTTCATTTTTCTTTCTTTTCCTGCGGCGCCTCCTTTTCCGCCTCCGGCCAAACGGGCTCTTTTCTTTCGGGCACACGGGGGAGTCGGGGAGGAAGCCCCCAGCTCCCCTTTATTTCCAGGGCGAGGAGAAAAGAGGTAGGAACGTCTTCAAAGCCTTGTGAAAAGTGACCCCTCCGTGTCCCCCTCTGAGCCGGCGGGCGGCCCCGCGTGCCCCGTTCCTGCAGAGTTCGGAGGGACGATGCCGCCGAGCTGGGCCCTGGCCGCGATCGCACCCCCGGCGGGGCGTAGCCAGTCCAAGCGAGAGGCATCCTGCGTCGCCAGACACACACACACACACACACACCCCGGACACGATCGCACGGGCAACGCCGGGAGCCGTGTCTTCGGGCCGATGCGGCCCACCCGTCCCCTCACGTAAAGGCCGGATGAGGGGTTTTTTTTTAAAGCGATAACAAGAACAAAGGAAAATAAAGACTTTTCAAAACCAAACGATCGCTTTTAAAAATTGTAAATAATAAAAAAAAAAACCAATCGCAGTATTTATATGTGGCCGGGACAATTGTTTTCCTTTGTACGCTGGAGATTGCCAGGAGTGGGGGGAGGTTTATTAACTCCTCGCCCCCACACTGTCTAAGGATCAACAGGGTCCAGCCAAACCCTTGCCCTGGTGGCCCTTCTGGGTGTAAACCGGCACTTAACGGCTGAGTCTCCGACAGTGACTGGATGTGGGGGCGTTGGGAGCCAGATCCCTGCCGGCTAGACGGGGCTGGGCCGGTGTGGAGCTGGGAGCACAGTGGATGGGCAAGTCAGTGCAGAATAGACCCACCGGTGACCCCCTCTTGGGATTTGCGCGGAGCAAAGGGATGCCTGTGAAACGGACGTATGAAAAACCGGGAAGGCGGCATGGGCCAAGGACACAGGGAAATTGAGTGGGATGACAGCCCGCTGGGAAATTGTCTTAAATTTTTATTTAATCTCCTGACACACGTATCAATGTGTATGTATATAATATATATATATATATGGATGGATGGATTGTTTCTGGTTTTGTATTGCAATGTCCTCGCATCGGATCATATCAAATACAGGCCCTCGTTGTCCCCGCGGCTCCGTTATTCAAATGGCTGATCTCATCGGGCGTGGCCCTGCTGGGAGACCAGGCCCACTCGCAGTGTGGGTGGGATCGAGGGGGGGGGGACTTGTGTCTGCTCGCCAGCGCCCCCGGGGCTGACGTGAGGAGCGGCGTGCAGCCACCCATGGCTGGAAAGGCCCCACGTGTGGTCGGAGGTGCAAACATAGTGGGTTCATTTTGGGGGCCGGATGAGGGAGAATCTACCAGGGCAGCGTTGTTCTTGAGCAGGATGAGTGTGGATGGGGATCGGATTGATCAGGGGCTGCTATTAGCCAGGCTGGGAGGGATGGTGTCCCTCTGTTTGCCAGAAGCTGGGAATGGGCGACGGGATGGATCACTTGGTGATGATCTGTTCTGTTCATTCCCTCTGGGGCACCTGGCATTGGCCACTGTCGGAAGACAGGATACTGGGCTAGATGGACACCCCGGGGCCTCAGTTCTTATGTTCATAGTGTCCCAGGGAGTGTACAGTCAGAGGTATATATTCCTGTGGGGTCTGCCTATGGAGCATACAGTAGAACCTCAGAGTTACAAACACCTCAGGAACGGAGGTTCTTCGTAACTCTGAAATGTTCCTAACTCTTAGGTTTGTTCTTTCCAAAATTTGCAACTGAACATTGACTTAATACAGCTCTGAAACTTGACTGTTCAGAAGAACCATGCTGCTTTTCTTTGGTTTTTTTAGTAGTTTACATTTACGGGGTGGGGGGTGTTGTTTTTTCTCTGCTGCTCCCTGGTTTCATACTTCTGGTTCCAAATGAGGTGTGTGGTTGACGGGTCAGTTTGTCACTCTGGTGTTTGTCACTCTGAGCTGCTCCTGTATGTTTAAATTCTATAGTTGATGCTCTTCCATCCACCCAAGTCCCCGGATCCGTGTCACGAACAGCCCAGGTTCGTGGTGGTGCACGTTCTGGGTTGGACGGGGTATCGGATTAAGGACAGCATGACAAATAACCTCCTATTTCTCCTCCGCCCTCCAATGAAACTGAACGGGGATTCAAAGGGTGGTATAAGAAATCATCCGAGGGGACGGCGGGAAGGGAAAGAAGGCCCGGGCACTCCTCAGCAGTATTTGTGATTGGCTTTAAGCTCTCGAAAAAGAGGTGTGTGGTTTATTCTCCAGCAGTGCAGAAGATCAGGAATCCCAGAGACACCCCCCCCCAAAATAGCCCTTCTCAAAAACCTCTTAGCTCAGTGTTTCTCAACCTTTTGGATATCAGGGACCGGCTTGCTGCCTTCCTAAACGGTGCCAGGGAGATCTCAGGGAGTGGCGCCGGTCCACGGACCGGTCCTTGAGAAACACTGCCTTAGATGATTCTAGCCAGAATCCACCGTTAACATCGGCTGCACCCCAGAGAGGGTGGAACGTGGCCGGCACGTCTCAGCATGGGAAGGGGAGGAAGGATTCCTACGGGCATGAACCAACCGCTCCCTGATGGGGGCTGGATGGATATTTCCCCTCGGACAGAGCCTAAACGCTGTGTTTGTGGAGCCCGGTGACACAGGTGTACGGGAGAGCTGCCGGGGTGGGGGTCGTGTTTGTGAGGGGAGGGGTGCACCTGGGTCTATGTTTGGGCATGCGTGTGTGCATACCTGCAGGTGGGCATTTTCATGGGCATGTGCACGGGTGTGTACATGTGTGTGTGGAATGGCAGCCTGCCCCTTGACGGGCCCAGGAGGCTTGGGCCAGCCAGCCCTAGTGAATCAGCCAGGCCCGTGCCAGAATTAGCTGCCTCCCAGCTGAGG